AGAATAATTAAGCCGTGTGTGTGTGCGAAGGGTGAATATTGGCGAAGGGTGAAATTCAATTATTGCCCCTTCGCCTCTTTTGTTACTTATATGATCCTTGAAGGATTCATAATTTTAATTAATATTATGTTTTGGCTCTGGCCCACTCCGTGGGTGCGCTCGTTTGTTTTTGGTTATTTTGTGTGATAATCCGCACGAATGCGCAGCTATTATTTCAATTGAATAAAATATGATAGGGATTTGGTAAGGAAAATAAAGAGCAATGAACAGATTTTTTGATTGAATATAAAAATCATTGAAATTATAAATTGATTTATAAAAACAGATAAAAATAATGATTTATTCGCAAAACAGATAAAAATTATGATTTATTCGCAAAAAGTTGTCTCCTCACGTTTCATTACAATTAAGTGCATGGAGGAGCAGGTTTGTGCTCGCCCTTCTCGAGGATCGACAGAATCTTTCCCAGCTGCGACTTCACCTGCTCCTCCTCTTCCACCATCCTATCCAGTCGCTGCTGCATGCTCGAGATTTTCCTCTCCAAGTTCATGCAGCAGTTCTTTGACTTCTCCTCCTTCTCCTTCGCCTCCTCCTGCTCCTCCTGCTCCTCCTGCGGATCGAAGACCGCGCTCTTCCATGCGGCAAAGGAGGTGCACATGCTTGACTTGAAGAGCTTGTCAAGGATCTGCTTTCTCGTCTTCGTCTGCTTCATCGCGCTCGCTCCCACGTCCTTCTTCTCCATCTGATCCACGAAGGAGATGAGCATCTTGACGGCGAAGATAAGCTGCTGTAAGTTCTGAATAGACCGCTTCCTTCCATCGATCTCATCCTTGCTGATGAACGAGCAGCGGAAGAACTTCTCCGACTGTCCTGGACTTCAGAAATGTGGAGAAGACGCAGGAGCATGGGAATGAGCTGGTGGACGGGGAGAAGAGGAGGTGGTGGAGGAAGAGGAGCAATGCAACATGACAAGCAGTGGACAACCTGAACAGTCTGACCATCTTGAAGACTCGGACAAGACGGAGAACGTTGATCGCAGGGATCTGGTCAAAGATGACCGAAGCCAGCGCGAGAATGACGACAACAAAATCTGCGGGGGGGGCAGGGAGAGGGTCAGGAGGAGAGCTCTGTCGTCGCCTCCTCACCGAACACATTCCATCCGTCCCGGAAGAATTTGTTGAACCAGTGCCCGAAAAGGTTAACGACCAGCTCCTGCTTCCACGCTCAGCTGGGGTCAAGGTCGGCAAGTAAGCGAGCAGCACCAGAGTGAAGACGGCTGTGACGGCGAGCTCAATGATCCTGAAGTTTCTGTCCATGTCGCTTCCGCTCTCCGGCAGCAGCTGCGCGTTTGCCAGGGAAGCGACGT